AAAATAACAATGAGCAAAAGATGAATAAAGTGATCGCTCAAATGACTATTATAAAAAACTTATACGACCTTGACACATTTGATATGCACTGATAATAAACTACGAACAAACAACGAAGGCCGTTAAAAAGATGAAATAAAAGAGAAAAAACTTAAAAAAGAAGAAAAATTTATCTCCTAAAAAGGTGAAATCCTAATTTTCATACTTATCCCCATAGTTCTTAAGATAAGACAAACGAAATATCAAAATCTCAAAAAGTTCATAGATTTGGATCCAGGAAATCAGTGACAAATCAAGTAATATGCATCCAATGAAAAATTAGCAGTCAAATGAGTGAGTTAGCAAAGAAAATTAGCCGAATGAAATGAATGGCTCCATGTTTTCAGTGGCAATGCTGCGTTCAAAAAAGGACATAAATATGAATTAAAAAATACAATGCCTTGAGATGTACAATAAAGGGAATAAAAAAGAAAATATAGCAACCTTCAAAACATTTATTTGTCTGGCAATCAATTCAGTCATAATCGCTAGTTCATGTCCTCCATTACTGCTTGGAACTGGATCTGTTTTAGGGAAATGAGCGGCGGAAAGAACATCAAATGGTTTGGAAAACAAACTTACAATCTAAAATTCATATTTATTAAATGCTTTTTTTTCTGGTCGAAAATTCCCATGTAAAACCGATTAAATAAAGAGAGATGAAACTCAACAAAGAATTTCCGGAAGTTAGCATCAAACAGATCAAAACAAAGCAGTATACGACATATAATTAATGTCGAATAATGTACTGAGCTAAATGATTCTGGAAACAAGGCAAAATTGATAGTATGAAATTACCTACCGGAGAATTTTTTGGCTCTGCTATGCAACTCACGCTATTGAACAACGTAGGTGGATCTTTAGTAACATGTGGTATGTGTTTCTTGTTACCTAAACACCGTAAAATAACAACATGTCTAATACTTGAATTTTTTTAATACATTTTCCTCAAAATAAATTTTACTTAATTTTACTTCGACATTATCTTGCCTTCATTTAACAGTATTTAAAGAGCATATCGAAGAGTGTGCAGTTCTCCAGAGAATGACCTATATTTTTGTAGTCACCAATAACTAATCAATGGATTATAGGGAAGCTGTGCATCCTTTAAACAAATCCATCATGGAAGTGGACACACTGCAGGAAATACGAACAATTTCGCGTAGGACTATTTAAATAATTAAAGAATGCATCATTGATTTCTAATGATTAGATAGCATCAGAAACTCCCCACTGAATGCTCTATACAGCTCAAAAGTCTTTTGATACTTAGAAAATAAGCAAAATTAGATGCACAGCAAACATCATCGTCATATTATCGCTGTGTCAAATTTTATTTTCCAAGTAAATTCTGTGCAAGCGATACAAAATTTGCCTTTTCAAATTAAACTACAGTCAAAGCAAGATGTTGATTGAAATTTAAAAAAGGATTAAATTTTATAAAAACATACCATTTTGAGTAGCCTGATTGATTAACATTTGTGGATAGATCACTGATTTTGCATTCGATGAAGGAGGCGATCTTTCTGGAAATAAATTGTGTGAGGTAAAAGCAAAGTAAGGTTTAACAAAGTCTAGCTAGTTCTCTAACAGGATTTTTTTGATACCTATCTGGTAATTACTTTCCTCATTTCTCTTCACATGAACAACAAAACTTTCAGGTGTTCCAAATCTACATCGCATTGGAAGAAATGCCGAATGATGATTCAAGCTAGGACTATTGAAGGAAAAAATGAACTATTACGTTTCTGTATATTCTGGTAAAACAATCATTTTCGAAATCTAAATGAAAACAACTGCAGTCAGTGCTAAGTGCCAAGGTATATCAATAAGAAGAAATGACTCACCCATATGTCCATTTTCATGTAACTGAATTTTCTTTTCATTACTTTCACGTCTCATCAACGCTTCCAGTTGCATATAAAAGGGTTCATTGTTTTCATTTACTGTGTTTAGGACTTTGTCGCCATTTTGATAAAGCATGCGAACCATTTCCATTTCTGCTGGCGTGAATCTAATATTTGTATCTTGTGGTATTATACCATTACTCGTTTCTCGCCTGAAGAGTCAGTGAAATAAAGATTTATTTCCAAAACCTCCATTTTTATAATGAAGCAACATTCAGCAAAAATTTTTTTCTTAACAAAATAGACTTACCGCAGAGCTTCGATTTTCCCCCGAGCCCCAGCCTGTATATTCTGTATTTTCTTTTTTAATCTGTTCACGCCAGAATGAATTCCGAACTCTTCAAAAAGGCGGGCATCAATTGCATCCCACATTTGATGACGTGCTTTACGGTCTTCCTTTTTCTGACTGAATGTTCGCAGGAATGCTGGAAAATTGTTACCAATTATACAGAATAAAAGTATCAATTATATCAATTTTTAATAATTGAGTTTCAAAAATTCCAATTAATATGATAGAATATAAAGAAACATGATTTCATGTCGCTTGCAAAAGCGATAACGTAGAAGTACCATCGGAATTCCTGAACAAAACAGCAAGATTGTTTTGTAGTCCACTGCATAGAAAAAATATTAATTGAAATAAAACAAGCAACCTCGACATCTTCTATATAATTCCACCAAACGGATACACATCGGCATCGGGATAGTCATACTACTTCCTGATTCCTTTGTAGGCCAATCTTCTAAAAAATATATTGAAACACTGAATAAAGCTAATACCAAGATTTTGCACAAAAAAATCCTGATACGATTTTCTGCTAGTATTCAAAACTATCAGTTTCTATTAAACAAGCTTGCAGCTCTTCATGTGGGTCAAGACATCGTCCCAAATCGAGAGTTAAACTATTTTTGACCAATAAAATACAATATGCATGGCATAGAAAAGGAAATAAATGGGGAAACAATATCAAGCTAAATCAGTGACCCACAAATATATCAACTAATCTGTACACGAAATAAATTATTTTTAAAGGATACCTCTTGCATTGCCCAAATCATCGCGTGCTTTCTTTGCTTTGGGCCCATCCAAATCATTTGCTCCTGTTTCGTTAAATGGGCTCTAAAATAAAAGATTTGGATTATATCTAGTTTAAAGCAAGAAATAATGAATTGTCTGTAGAGTAATGGAGCAAAACTAGTGAACACTAGTACGAAATTTGTAAATCATCAACTAATCAATCAGCTCCTATCACAGAGAATTATACTGAAAGGTTTGACCTCAACATGCTCATTGAATATATTTTCGAAAACACTCGGCATTCCATCATTTTCAGAATTGTTATCGATTGCAGTAGAAACGGTACGTTTCCCATCTAAATAGTGATATTGTTCAGTAATAATAAACCAGGACAAACTACATGTAAAGACTCCAACTGTTCATTTAATGTATATATTAACTGTTTGAAGCTGGCAACAATAAATAACCTACCAGTCTTCGATTCACTGGAAAAATTATAAGCTTTTGCAATTCTACAAACTCCAACAGAGGGTAATATACCTGTTTGATTATTAGCACTAAGCAATCTTGAAATACTGCCTAAAATTTGATTTGCAAAAAAGCTCGATACTTCCTCATCAG